TTGCACTCTACCCATCCTATTGTAATTAGTATTCTGTCTTAGATCTTTGTTCTGCAATAGTTAGAAATGCTGCTATTAACAGGTTTTTTTTTTTTTTTTTATAAAATTCAGAAAAATGAGAAGCTGACTTAAATTGGTTTTGAAAAATTAATGAAGAAAGTCTTCATGGTCAAATTACCTTAACATTATGCACAGCAGTCTTAATGTCTATATATGGAATTCTGAGTGATTAATACGCATATGCCAATTATATGGTGGGTGTTAAAATGTTTTGGTTAGTTGTAAATAACAAATATCTGCTATTAATCACATCGAGCAGTAGGAGAGACCAGTTTGTTTTAATGATATAACAGAAATATACAGGGGAAATGGAAACATGAACGTGAAGGTTAAATTATAGCTGATTATTTATTCATTTTTTTTAAATCAAAATAACCACACATTCACTGCAGTGTCATGTAGAAGACTTAACAGGCATATTCATCAAGGACAATTACAGTTCAAAGTACTAAATGTTGAGTACAGGGCAACCATCAGAGTCCTAATTTATTCTAAAAAACCATCAGGGATTGTCACAGGCCCGGTGATCCAGGGGGGACCGGTCTGCTAGGGCCTCTGATCTTGTAATCCGCTGCCTCCGCGTATATAGTATATAGGGGGCCAAGCACACATGATCTTCAGCTTCTCTTTACAACTCTAACAAACACCCCCCCCATCAGAGCATTGCCGCGGTTTACAGCTCAGAGTGCAGGGCAGGCTCAAGAGATAGGGAGAGAGGAGCTGCCGGAGGCCGTGTGCGCTGGGCCCCATGTTCATTATATATGCAGCTTGCAGCCTGCACTGTGCCACTGGACTACCAGGGAGTGTAATGTTCCCATTCCCTGGCCACGGGTAAGAGGCAGGGTAGGGGGAATAAAATTAATTTAAAAAAAACAAAAAAACTACTTTTTAGCCGACAGAATGCAGCCCCTATCCTACCCGTTATATTTAGACACACACACACACTCTTTGTATCCACTTATCCACTATACAGAGTTCATCCACTATACAAACATACACACTGTACCCACTACACACACTATGTGTGTGTGTGTTTAGTGGATCCAGTGTGTGTATAGTGTATGCAGACTGCATCCACTGTACATACACTCTGCATCCACTACACACACTACGTCCACTACGCACACACTACATCCACTACACACCCACACTCTGCATTAACTATACATACATACTCTGCATCAACTATAAACACACTGAGTTCACTACACTACTACTGCTTCCACACTACACATACTGCATCCACTCTACACACACTGCATTCACTCTACATACACACTCTGCATTCACTCTACATACACACACTGCATCCTTGTGGGCGGGCTCAGGGTGAGCCCTGTGGGCAGACACGGGGGTGGGACACAGGTGCCCAGATCTTGAGCTGGGTAAGGGGCCCCAACATTTCTGATGGTAGCCTTGGTTGAATGATTGAACTGTTTTGCCTATTTCTATAAATGCTGCACTGTACCCAGCATATAGATAGTTTCCATTTGGTAAATATGCTTCTTAGTCATTACATCTCATAGTGTAACTAATGAACAGTGGTAACTGGCACAATATTTATTTTTTGGTCCCCTACCAGTCCAGACAATTAACCACCAATTCCCAAAATGTTCCCAATTACAACTGCCAAATAAACAACTCTATAGTCACAAAACCCTAAATCACCCTTCCACTACACTTATTCCTTCCCCAATTTAGACTGCCATTTTTCTCTGACAACTAACCTTCTCCCTACTTAAAATAGATTTTGTCACATTTGACTGACAACTAACCATCTACCTTCCTTAAAGGACCACTATAGGCACCCAGACCACTTCAGCTTAATGAAGTGATCTGGGTGCCAGGTCCAGCTAGGGTTAACCCATTTTTTAATAAACATAGCAGTTTCAGAGAAACTGCTATGTTTATGAATGGGTTAAGCCTTCCCCCAAAGCCTCTAGTGGCTGTCTCATTGACAGCCACTAGAGGCGCTTGCGTGCTTCTCACTGTGATTTTCACAGTGAGAGCACGCCAGCGTCCATAGGAAAGCATTATGAATGCTATGAATGCTGGAAAAAGGTAAGTTTAAACCCCTTTCCCCTTTCCAGAGCCGGGCGCCCTCAGGGCACTATAGTGCCAGGAAACAGAGTATGTTTTCCTGGCACTATAGTGGTCCTTTAATTTAAATTGGCTTAATCCTCTTCCAATTAACCCCTTCCTCCCCCCCAAATAGATCTTTTTATTCACCTTGCTCTCCACACACCGTGGAAGGCCACTATCCTGGCGCCTCAAGTGTTGGTCCCTGTCATATTTTTGTCATCACTTACTGGCAGACCTCTCCTGGCCACGGTTGAGCAGGTCCAACTGGTGGCTCAGTAGGGCACTTCCCAGTGACACAGGCACACACAAAATGTACTTTATACACACATTCACTCTCCATACAGAAACATCTTCCATGTATTACACGGAGATACCACATATCTTACATTTTGCAGAGAAATGAAACTAATTTGACAAATTAAAGGATCCAGGTAGCAAACAGCCCTTACTACCATTCCCAGCTAGACATTGAGCCCCAGTCGTCTTCACTTTCTTCTGACAGAACAACTTTTTTTTCACTCACTCACTCAGCCATAAAGTGGATGGCTCCTTTCTGTGCTGCTACACCCAGAGACGGCTGAATAGCTTGCTCCACCATCATGCCACAAGAAAGACAGCCTACATTTTGGAGTGAGGTGGATAGATGGAGGCTGCAATTGGCTCAGAATCCTCTGCTTCCTGCCACACATGGGAGCTTGCCTAATAGTAATAAAGAAGCCTGGGTGTGCTCTCTCCCCAGCTTCCCTCTGCTTGGGCCCTTACTGCTCTCCCTCTCCTGATGAGTGGTCAAAAGTTGACCCATTAAACTCTGGTGGGATCATTGCACCGGCTGCACCTGCAGTAATTCTTCCCCTGGGCACACGATTTTAATGTTTAGTGTTTTTTGCTTTCTTCAGGTTAAAGGTTTCTTTTAATGTATTTGGCTCGCAGTACTGGCCATGCATTAGCCAATGTTTTCCCTTTTTGTTGCAGTATCTGAAGGCAGGCTGCTACTCTATCACTACTCTTCTTCAGGACCTCATGTTAAGCATATTTCCGTCTGAGATGGCTGAACGAAAACAGCTTCATCTTTCAGAGATTGCTGAGTTGTCTAGGTAAGAAGTCATTAACTGGACAAACTGTGATTGAATTTTAAAATATAACAAAATGCAGTTGCTTTTGAGTCCATTTTTGAATATTTGAATATGTTGTAACTTGACTATGTGTGATATTTAACCCCTTATGGACCAAACTTCTGGAAAAAAAAGGGAATCATGACATGTCACACATGTCATGTGTCCTTAAGGGGTTAATGTTTATTGTTAATGCTTGGGTAAAGCTGGGTATGTTAAATTTGAATGCCTTTACTGATAAACTACTGCTATGTCTGTGATGCTACTAGAGCAAAAAAGTAGACCCCCAGTTTTTGGTACAACTTCCTTAGAGTTTAAGGCTGACTTTTAAATCAAAATGAACCTTGTTACACCCCATTGCTGTCAATCAGAGAACAGGTTCTGATACTTCTTGCTAGGTTAGCTCAGTGGAGCCAAACTCAAGAGGAATCAATTGACAAGAGCACCTAAACTTAATCGAGAAGTTTGCATTGGACAAACACAAAGTCTGTGCTGTGAAAAAAAGGGGAGAGCTTGCCTAACTTCAGATATTAGACCTGCAGTTATTGTAAGCCAAGATTTCATATACACACAAGATATACAAAACAATTTACACATATTTTCTTTAAACATATACTATTATTTTTTTTAAATTGTCTGACAGCCCAGACAGTCCCACCTCTGCAAAATAGGACCCCAAGGGCCATGTGATCGCTCTAAAAGAGCGATCACATGGCCGCAATAGGTGGCCATAGTGTTGCCTGCAGGGAGTCTGCCTGAACTGACAGGCAGTCCCCCTGATGGTGAAAAAAGTTTTAAAAAAGTTTAAAAATAAATATATAAAGTATATATTTATAGTTTATGAAAAAAAAATATATATATTTATCTTATATATAACATCATACTAAGTATATTTGTTTATTAATATATACATATATTAATATTTTAATACACTTAGAATAAAATGACACACATATATATACAATATATAAAATAACTATATATATATTGTATATATATATATATATTTTTTTTAATAAAAAATACTTAATTAAAAATAAATAAAAATTTGTAAAAAAAAAAAAAATAATACTTATATATATATATATAAAGCAAATAAGAAAAACGGGATGCACTCACAGGTCTTCATCAAAGTGGAAAAAATTGTGCTTTATTAATCCATTAGGTGTATACAAAAATCGTCCGAAGTTTCGATCCTGACGGGTCTTTTTCAAGATCTTGAAAAAGACCCGTTAGGGTCGAAACGTCGGTCGATTTTTGTATACACCTAATGGATTAATAAAGCACCATTTTTTCACTTTGATGAAGACCTGTGAATGCATCCCGTTTTTCTTATTTGCTAATATATTTGACGCTGAGGATATAGCACCCAGGCAAGATACTTTCATTTTTATTGTAAGGAGAGTGCCAAGCGTTCATTTTTTCATTGTATATATATATATATAAAAAACAAAAGAAAAAGTTACCTGCGCTCTCTCCTAAATCCCCTTTTCTATTTAAACGAATGGAGGTCATTTAGTTACTCCAATGGCCATTAAAAGGAATGTACTCCTGCCAACGTCAAGGCAGACCCCCCTAGGCGGGTCCTACACTAACCTTTCACCTTGCTTCCTTGAGCTTCTGGCAAAGATATCTCTAATGAGACAGAAAGGGGTAATTTTTTTATATACACACCTATATACTTATTAACTCTTAATAGGGAACACATGGGATGGGTGGCAGCATTGTAACAAAGCTGTGTGATACAAAAAGTGAATACAAATACAAAATGATAAGTCCTGCGCTCACTCCCATCACTTATCTTTTTGTATTTGTATTCACTTTTTGTATCACACAGCTTTGTTACAATGCTGCTGCTATATTTAACCCTGTAACTTACCAAGACACCCTAAACCCTGTACATGGGGGGTACTGTTTTACTCGGTAGACTTTGCTGAACACAAATATTAGTGTTTCAAACCAGTAAAACATATCACAACAATGATATTGTCTGTGAAAGTGAAGTTGTTTGCATTTTTCATACACAAACGGCACTTTCACTGATGATATCTCACCATCACCCACTCTCAACGTCACCCCCTCCCTCTCACCATCTCCCCCCTTTCCCTCTCACCATCAACCCCCCCTCTTACCATCAACCTCCATCTCACCATCATCCTCTTTCACTGTCATCCCCCTCTCACAGTCACCCCCCTCTCACCGTCATCCCCCTCTCACTGTCACCCACCTCTCACCGTCACTCCCTCCCTATCACCATCACTCCCTCCCTATCACCGTCACCCCCTCTAACAGTCACCCCCTCACAGCCACCCCCTCTCACAGTCACCCCCCTCTCACGTCACTCCCTCCCTATCACCGTCACCTCCTCCCCTCTCTCTCACCATCACCATCTCCCCTCCCTCTCACCATCACCCCCCTTTCCCTCTCACCATCAACCTCCCTTCTTACCATCAACCTCCCTCTCACCATAACCCCCATAACCACCAGCTGAAGACATTCATCATACACACACAGTCAGGAAACATAGCTTTGCCATAAACACAATGCACAAAGGCCACAGGCAGACCCCCCAAACACATAACACACTTTAAGCAGCTACCCCATACACAAACGGTCCCAGATAAAAAAGCAAACATGCTCACAGAGATATACATTTACACACACAAGGATACTCTCTGTTAGACAAACTCTCAGGCACATACAAAGGTAAACAGTTTATCAATGTGTGACAGTGTGCATGTATTGCAACTCTATTCTTTTTATTTTGGTGTTAGGGGGGCCTCATGTTTGAGTTTCGCCTAAGGCCTAAGGCTAAGTCTAGAGCCGCTTCTGCATGGATGGTATCACTGTACTCAGGAGATGTTGCACATATTCTTTGGCAATAACCCTTAACCCCTTCAGGACGGGTGACGGACGAGGTCCGTCACAGAGGGGAGACCCTTAACGACGGGTGACGGACCTCGTCCGTCACGCGATAAAATTAACCCCGGATCGCCGCTATCGCGGCGATCGCGGGGATCGCGGGGTTAATGGTGCTCCCGGTATGCCTCTGCATTAGAGGCATACCGGGAGCACCCGGTCAGGCTGCCCAGCACATGTGCTCGCTCTGACTGCAAGTCAGAGCGAGCACATGTGCTCTGTATACTCACCTACCGGCTCCCTGCACTTCCGGGTTCTGTGTGAAGTGCAGGGAGCCGGATCAGTGATGATCCTGCCCCCTGCTGGAAAAAAAAATAAAGTTAATTTAAAGTGTCCCCCCCTTACCCATTTTAATAAAAAATTAACCCATTCCCTGCCAATTGATCACTGACTACAGTGATCAATTGGCAGGGATTACATTTTACTATGATCTGATTTTTTTTTTTTTTTTTTAACCCCTGAGGGTTAATTCTTTTTTTTTTTAACCCTCAGGGGTTAAATTAATTAAATTAATTAATTAAATTATTTTTAAATTATATATTTAGATAGCTGGGGTGGGTGGAAGTTAGTGGGGAATTGGGGGATTTGGCGTTAGGCTAACTAGGGGTTAACGTTAAAAAGTTTTAAAAGAAACTTTAAAAAGTTAAAAATTAAGCTTAAAAAAATGTTTTAATAACATTTAAGTAAAAAAAACAAAAAAAACACACTTTACCTAGTCCAAATAAAAATTAACCCCTTCCCTGCCAGTCGATCACTGCCTACAGCGATCAAATAGAGATCACAGTATTATACTGTGATCTAATTTTTTTTAACCCCTGAGGATTAACTTTTATTTATTTTTTTAACCCTCAGGGGTTCAATTTATTTAATTAATTTAAATATTTTATAACTATATATTTTGCTAGCTGGGGTGGGTGGGAGTTATGGGAAAATGGGGAATTTACTGTTAGTGCTGCGTACTGCTAGTTAGGGGTTAACGGTAAAAAAAAAGCTTAGAAAAATGTTAAATCTGTAAAAAAGTTTTAAGAAAGTTTAGGAAAGTTTAAAAAAAATTTATAAGCAAAACAAAAGTTTAAAAACTAGTTTTTAAAAGTAAAAAAGTTATAAAAAGTAAAAAAATACATTTTAAAAACGCTCATTACCACTACACCTGGAACAAACTAGAAAAAAAATTATCCCACGCCAAGGTTCAAAATATGCCTTTTGAATTACCCCAGGGTGTATTCTTTAATAAATAGTATGTGTTTGTGGGGAAGTTTCAATAACCAACCGTCTAAACTACTCCAAATTGGAACATGGACACAGCGTAAAACTTCAAAGTTAGAAAAAAACTGAATGGCTGCGTCTCAAATGCGCCCCTTCAACATCCACATATACCTGGCAAAGGTACATACGGGGGTATTGCTGTACTCAGCCGACATAGCTGAGCAACATATGAAGTATTATACAGTCATAGCACACATAAGGTTTGCAAAATATGCTGCGCAAACTCACTTTGTATGTCAAAAAGGCAGAAAAAATGCTTATTACCACTACACTTGGTACAAGCTAGCGGAAAAATGATCCCACGCTAAGGTTCAAAATATGCCTTTTGAAATACCCTGGGATGTCTTCTTTAAGAAATGGTATGGCTTTATGGGGAATTTGGATTATATAGCCTGGTAAAATACTCTAAAATGGGACATAGGCACAGCATAAAAATTCAAAGTTTGAAAAAACTGGAATGGCTGTGTCCCAAATGTGCCCCTCCGATGTCCACACATACCTGGCAAAGGTACATACGGGGGTATTGCTGTAGTCAGCCGACATAGCTGAGCAACATATGAAGTATTATACAGTCGTAGCACACATAAGGTTTGCAAAATATACTGTGCAAACTCACTTTGTATGTCAAAAAGGCAGAAAAAACGCTTATTACCACTACATCTGGTACAAGCTAGCGGAAAAATGATCCCACGCTAAGGTTCAAACTATACCTTTTGAAACACCCTGGGGTGTCTACTTTAAGAAATGGTAGGCCTTTGTGGGGTAGTTTGAATTTAAAACCTGCGAAGATGCTTGGAAATTGCACATAGGCCCAGCGTCAAAATTCAAAGTTTGGTAAAAACGGATATGGCTTGGTCTCCTATATGGCACTGTAGCTTCACAAAATAGTGACAAAGACATTCATTGGGGGTGTATTTTTACTCAAAAGACTTAGCTGAGCATAATTTGGGAGGTTTGAACTTAGTGGCACATATGAAATATACAAAACGCCCAGCAAAAATGCAATCCGTATGTAAAAAATGCACAAAATAATTTTTTACCACATACTTTGGCATATATTGGTGAAAAAATGGGGGTATGTTAAGGCACAATATGCACCTTATGAGATACCCTGGAGTGTCTACTTTTACAAATGGTAGGCCTTTGTGGGGTTTTTTGAACAGTCAAACTGTTATAATACCCCAAATGGAAGCTAAGGCTCATTAAATCCATCTCTCAAAATTCTACTGTGAATACTGAAAAGGACAGGTCTCCTATATGGCACTGTAGCTTATAGTGCCAAAGACATTCATATGGGGTATCATTTTACTCAGCAGATGTAACTGAACACAAAATAAAACTTTGTACAGGAATAGCACACACCAACTTTACAAAATATACACGAGAATTTCTCTGTTATAAGTTTGTGTGCCAAAAACCAAAAAGAACACAATTTTACTCCAATATTTAGCAGAGGTTGGCGGTGAAATGGCTACGTAGAAAGTGTCAAAACAACCTTAGGTAAATAGCCCGTGATGTCTACTTTATATAAATATATACTTTTGTGTGGCAATTTTGTTTTCTTTTATGGCTATTAAGCTTACAAGACAAACATACCAAATTCTAAAATCGCTCCACATTAAAAGTTTATTTTACTCCTTGTGCTTTGTGACCTGTAACTACCAAAAAAAACTTAAAATCCCAGACACATTATATATTCTGTAAATCAGAACAAATAAATAAATTTATTTTTAATTACTTTCCTTAACCTGCACTAATTATGCACATATTATTATTGCAAAAACTGTAAAAAAAACCAATATTTTTCATTTTTTTTGCATTTTTCTGTATTTTTTTTATAATAAGTAAGCATTTATATATATATATGTTATATCAAATTAAAGCCCTTTCTGTCCTTTAAAAAAGAGTATATAATATGTGTCGGTGCAATAAATGAGAGAGATGCAAATTGCAGTTGAACGCAAACAGCAAGAAAATGCAAAAATTGCTTGTGTCATTAAGCGTAAGTCAAGCTTCTGAAGCTGTGTCCTTAAGGGGTTAAAGTTCTCAGTACATGTATTCTAAAATTTCTATGTGTGTCCAAAAAATCACCAATTATTTTATTCTTTTAAATTTGGCATAGATTGGGGGTAAAATGGTTGCATGAAAAGAGCAAGAGTCAAAAAACCCAAGTTTAATACCATAAATTGTCTTCCTTTAAAAAAACATATACATGTGAAGGGTTATTCACGGATTCCTGACCGATATCAGTGTTACAATGTAACTTGCGTTCATTTTGAAAAAAAATTGTTTGGAAATAGCAAAGTGCTACTTGTACTTATTGCCCTATAACTTGCAAAAAAAAGCTAAGAACATGTTTACATTGGGTTTTTCTAAAGTCAGGACAAAATTTTGAACCTATTTATCATGGGTGTTCTCTGGCAGTTGTAGATGCGTTACAGATTTTGGGGATCAAAGTTAGAAAAAGTTTTTTTTCATATTTTTGAATTGTTTTTATAGTAAATTATATGATATGATGAAAATAATGATATGTTTAGAAAAACGGTAAATAATATGTGTGGGTGCAGTAAATGAGTAAGAGGAAAATTCAGCTAAACACAAACAACGCAGAAATGTAAAAATAGCTCTGGTCCCAAACGGTA